CAATCTTATTAAGGCGATCCCATTCATCTGAGGCCTCTAAAAACTTGTCTTTTTCACCCAAAGATTCATTTTTCTCACAGAGGCAAGCTGCTTTTGATACTGGAGATAATACATAGCCATCGTGATCGCCAGTAGCAACTTGTAACCGCAGTGTCCAAATAAGATTTCAGGGCCTGAAGTGTGAATAACAAGGGATTGACTATGAAAGCTAACACCCTCTGGGGGAGATGGGCAGCATATAAATTTAATAATAAACACGTGTCTTGCTTTCGTTGTCCGACAGGTGTTCGGACATGGGCCAACGAGGACACTCTGCTTATTTTTCTTTGGTAGATTATGATGATGGACAAACAGAGAGAGAAGTAGAAGTGCTGCCTCTGGAACTTCAGCGCTACATAGAAGAGAACAACTGGAGGGTAGAACAGGAGATGGCCGAGCTGGAAGAACAGTCCTACAAAATGGCCCAGATAGATCAGTCCTCCCCATCTCTGGAGTCCCAGAACCTGTCTTCTGGCTCAAGTCAAGGTGAGCAAAAGGACTACTCCATTCAGGAACACCCTGTCTCCATTGATCAGCCTCTGATACCAGCAAACGGGGAGCAACCGTGCAGGCCAGGAAATGATTGGCCCACAGAAAGCATAAAACGGGTTTGATCAGGCTAAGAGAAACATGCATGGACCAGTAAGCAGAGAAGAACACACCATCCAGGACACCGTTCCATCTGTTTTGGTTTGTGTTCCCTGATGGTGTTCCCTCAAATGGGCTAGAGCTGCCCTCTTGCGTTGCAGGCTTCGCACAACTCTTGGGTGATGGCAAGAGAATAATAAGCACTGTAGGGATTCTGAAGCTGACCAGAATTTGGGACCTGGGTTCCAGAAGGAGAACCTGCTTACGTATGAAGGTCCTCATTGAGTTTTTTGTCCCGGTAAATTGGAGGCAGCCAAAAAGAATCTTCTTTGCGGTGTGTCCTAGCTGGGGAAGGCTCATCTGGTTTTCATTTTACTCTCTGATTGATTTCCCCTGAATCTTTCATATGCTAAATGTGTCTGCTGTTCAGTAGCTCATTTTTTCTGGAAGTCTGCTGGAGACGACCCAGATCAGCCTTTCAAAATAGCTTCCTTTAGCTGTAGACTTGGGACCTGTCAACCTCAATGGCTTCCCGTGAGATCTTTGGGAAAGCGTAAGGCCTACTAAATGCACGGTAGCCACTTTGACCTTTCTCCTTTCAGAGCACTCCATCCCCTGGGAGTGTGGGACGCATCTGCTCTCCTCTGAGCACACCACGATGGCGAAGGAGCAGACTGCCCAAGCCGTCGCCAAGACCGCCGATGCTTGTGAGACGGAGGGAATCCCAGCTGCTCTTGAGCAGGTCAGGATTGTAATCGGTTGTCCCCTCCTTGCTGTGCTCTTGAGCCTCTTGCTCTCCTTGGTCCTCTGTCGCTGCTCCTCTCACTTCCCGCTCATCCCTTTCTCCTCTCTCGGTGCCGCCACAGTCCGAGGAGGCAGATCCAGAGAAGGCCCTCCCAGAAGAAGCCAGCCCCCCAGCTCAGGCAGAAGAGCCACAGGAAACGGAGGGGACGGAGCCTTCTGCCCCACCCAGCTCTCAAGTCTCTGAAGTGGAGATCCCCAGTGTGGGGAAGATCCTAGTGAGATCGGATGCGGATGGCTATAACGAGGAGGTATGGCCTGTGCGGAGTGGAGAGCTTTGGGTGGCGTGATTGGGAACAAGTAAGAAAATGGGATGCTGAGCCCCTGCCTTCCAGAGCCTAGCAATGTTTACTTGTAAGAAAGGCTCCTCTTGGACTTTCTTTCAAATAACTCTGATTAGGATTTAGTTGTTTCTCCTGTCCTCTGTTGGAGGAGCCCTAATGAGATTTACAGAGTTGAGCTTTTTTCCTGCTAGGACTCCATAGTCCCGTTCCGGTGTCCTGTGTTTTCTTCTCCTGCCTCACTCAGTGCTCACTGAGGCACTGCAGCTGCGCTGTTGCCCTTCAGCCTTGGGTGGCCAGTTGCCAAGGTACCAGCTCCAGACGCTTGTGTCCCTCAGGATGGCAGGCCTTCTTGCCATCCAAGGACAGAGGCAAAGAAGGAGCAGCAGGCACACGGGGAGGTTCCAGCAATATGCCAGCCCTGAAGAGCATGTGGGCCTGTATGCTCAGAGCCTTTTGTGCCTACAGTGGCCCAACAGATGTCTCCAAGGAATTCACCAGCAGGGCACAGGCAACTCCAGGTGTCCAGCCGCTGGTACTGAGAGAGATCTGCCTCTGATATTAAAGATATCAGAATGTTCCCGATGGCCTTCTTCCTGCTCCCTCCCAAAATGGAAAACACCAGCCACGCTTTTAAACTTTTCCTGCTTTCCCGTGCAGTGCCAGGCGAAGGCAGTATTTATTGATGGGTGCTGTCAGTACGTGCTCACAACTGAGCAAGCTTCTTGCAGCATATCTGGGTCTGACTGTCAAACGTTACTGTGCTGTAGGGAAAGGATATGTGGCTCCTCCTTATTTACCAGGCACAAACATCTCCAAAAGCTTTTGGAGACGATGCAGAAGGGCTGGAGGGGCACAGCTTTTCGCGTATCTCCCAAGGATCTGGATATGTAGACCCGCCCAAACCATATCCTCTCTAAGCTGAACTTGGCTCTTTTGCCTGCATGACAATGGAGCGCTTGTTTCCACCCAGCCGGTCTTCCCCCACCTGCTGCCATCTCTTTCCTCTTCTCTCTTCTCTGTGACAGGTGATGCTTAGCCCTGCCATGCAAGGGGTGATCCTGGCTATTGCTAAAGCCCGTCAGACCTTTGATCGTGATGGGTCTGAAGCAGGGCTAGTCAAGGTAGTACTGCACACATAAGCGTGCGTTTCTCTTTCCTCCGTCTCTCCTCTGGGTCGGTGCCTGTCTGCCTTGTTTCCCCTTTTGCCCTATGATGGAACGGTGCATGGAAGTAGGCGGCTCAGCTGGCGGAAGAGGAAAGGCTTCCACCCTGAGCAGCCAGACCATTGGGAGCCCCTGGACCTCTCTGGGGAAGAAGGGAGCCCTCTGGGGTTCTGCCCTCCCCAGAGAGGCCTCCTGGCAGGTGGCAGTCTCTAGCTCTGCCTTGGCTGACCCCAAAAAGGTAATCATAGCGGGACCTGGTTAATACCTGGGTGGGAGATCCCCAAGAAAAATTGGGACTGTGAGGCAGGCTAGGAAGTTTTTAAAAAAGCCTTGAAGAAAACAACAACCAGGTTTTGCTGTGCAAACTGGAAGTCTTGCGTATTCTGATTCCAAATTTGTTTCCCTTACATGGGGATGAATTTGTGTAGATCAGCCTTGATGTGGATTAGTTAATAACTAATGTAGCGTTTCTAGCCATGGGGCTTTAACTACCCCCCGAGAAAACTTCAAGGTGCTTTTTAAAAGGGGCGGCCCATCAGCAGGGCTTGGTGTTGATAGCCTGGTCCCCAGCTGGGTAGTCGGAGCCGCATCTCTTGAGTGCTTCAGGAGCGATACTTTTGTCCCACCTGAACCTCCTTTGTGGGGAGAATTTTGTACCTGGAACATGAATCCAGCTCAGGAGAGGGAGACTTTCCTCAATAATTAAAAGAAAAGGAACTCCAAAGATGGTTACTCGCCCTGCCCGTTTCTCAGTACAAGTGCTGATATAGTGCATCTATATAGCATAGATCTGAGCCCATTTCTTATTTATGGAAAACTCAGACTAGGAAGGCTCTTCTTTCCAGTTGAGATTCCAAAAGTCTGGAACAAAAATCTTCAAGATAAATTTCCTGTGGTGGTGTTTATTCAGTCGTTCCAGATCAGGTACAACTTAAGGTATCCATTAGCATCTGACGTGACCATTTGTGTTTTACAACTGTAGGAATTCTAGATACGTAGAACACTTATACGCTGTACTAGCAGCGTTCAAGAGCAATAAAATAGTAAAATAGCAAAAAACAAACAGTGAGTTCAAAAGAACTATTGTAGACAATCTTAAACGATAATCGTTTATCTTTACTACTGGTACTGATTATATATCCAGGAACTTTGTTCGTGCTACTATCTTGGAGATTCGTATGCTAACCTTGGCACGCAGGTTCCAGCAGATTCTTAGCATGTCAAGAACAAAGCCCCCTTGAAATCAGCTGCAAAACAAAGGAAGAATCTTATAGCTCCAGCTTCATTCAATTTGGATTTCAGTAGCTCCCTTGGGGGATCTAATGGTCATTTCTCCCTGAGTGAAAAACAGTTTGTGTTGTGGGTTCATAATGAGCTGGAATAATGCCGTTGCAACCACTGGCTTCCCCAGGCGTTCCGTGAAGAATATTCCAGACTCTATTCGTTGTCTAGAGAGACCCCAACACCACAGAATGATCCCCGCCTTCAGCACGTCTTAGTTTACTTGTTGCAGAACGACGCACCCAAGCAAGTGGTGGAACGGACCCTCCTGGAGCAATTTGCAGACAAAAATCTCAGCTACGATGACAGGTTGGTTCAAAGCAGGTGGGCTGGGATGCCAGTGAGAGCAAAAGGCAAGACCCATCTGTTGGGTCCTGAGGATTGTGGGGACCACTGGAAAACCACTTGCCCTCAGTGTTGAGTGAGGGCAAGTTAAATTTAAATGTTTGTCTGAATGCCATCACCTGGCTTCACATTGTTCCTCCCCTCTGTTCCTGGGAACAGGTCAATTAGCATTATGAAGGTAGCACGGGAAAAGTTGAAAGGAATTGGCCCAGATGAGGTGGACATGGAAGAGTACAAGGTAGGAAGCCCCGACTCTCAACACTCACACCACACCGCGTTTGTGTGAAAGTAGACTAGCTCCTCGTTCCCTGTCATAGCCTGCTCCGTGGAGACAGTTTGCACTGCTGCTTTTCAGGGTGTTCCTTAAGCGTATCTGTTACCTTACCTTTAGTCGCAATAGACAGCATATCTAAACGGAATAACAGGTCTCTGCTGTTGCTTGGCCTGACTCAGGCCTACTGGAAATTACCCACGGCTTCTAGTAAGCGGTGGAGGTTCTATCCAGAAGCGCCAAGAAGGAAGGAGTAAGTTGAACCTATAAATACCAGACTTGTGTTTTCTGTTTCCGGACAGAAATGGCACGAAGACTACAGCTTGTTCCGCAAGGTGTCCGTTTATCTCTTGACGGGGTTGGAGCTCTATCAGAAAAATCAGTAAGTTCGTCAACGCTGCTGTTGAGGCTGAAATTTTGGGAGCAGCCAAAGACGTTAAGCCTGTTGGGTTGGCGCATTGGCAGACGCAGTGTGTAAGGTTGTAAACGCGCGTGGTCCTATCATGTCTGGTGTCATCTACAAGTGGGGGCGGTTTGGAGGGTTTGGGCCACCCTGCCTCTGTTTTATGCGGCTCTGCAAAAGCACTCAGCTAAATCATTATACAATTTTGTGCAATCTGAAGAGAAACTAGAGTATGCAAATGTAATAATGATAAAGCTACATTTTGTCCAGAAAGCTGAGCCTGTGCAATTCAAAACGCCTTGAGAATTCTCACAAGAGATTTCATGAGAAGAGAGGCAGGTTGTTCAAACCCGCTCTGTGCTTGTGAAGGATGCCCCGAAGTTGCTGGTGTTTAAGTTTCCACTATTCTTAACCCTATAAAAACAGTGATATATTTCTGGTGATTTTAACTGCAGGAAGAAGTTCTAAAACATCACGTATTCTTTACTTCAGTTTAACTCCCCTTGATAAACCCTTTTACCTCTGTGGGAGTGGTTTGCCCAGGCTCTCCCTCCTGCATCCAATAGACGTATCAGGAACGCAGGCCTCTTGCTGTGAAGGACCACTTACAGCTTTCCTCCCCTCGCACCCGTGGGAGCTTCCATGCTTGCTGCTTCACCGGGAGACGGCCTTGGGGGAAATAGGCAAAGAGAGCCGAAACATTCCTTACATCCTGGGAAACAGGTTAGTATTTGGAAGAGACTTGGGCAGAGAGGGGAGATTAAGCACAGTCAGGCCTGCAGAATTGATGTCAGCCCTTTGGGTAGATGAGATCGGGGAGCAGACGCCGCAGGAAGACTAGATCTACGCTGTATTGACCCTGGCTGTCGTAACGGAATCTTGCAAGCCTGACTGTGCTGTATCTCTCCTCTCCCCCCCGCCCCCGTTTCTTATATCCCACTGAATCAGGGAGGACTCTGCCCGAGCCTCTTCCAAATACGATCTCGATTCCTAGGATGTCAGGAATGTTTCAGGCCTCTTTGCTTGGAAAACAGTTCCTGCCAATTTCCCTCACGATCATCTCCCTGATTTCATACAGCACTAGCCTTTGGTGGCGCCGTTCCCTTTAGTCGGGGCCCTGCGTAATTTCCTCCCTCCGTGCCTCGCAAGGTCGCCATGGCTCTGTGGGCTCGGATGCCGGTAAGCCTGTCACCTGGGCCACCTCTAACCAGCTACCCGTCCTCTGCTAGGGCAAGGGGGGCCCAGTTCCACAGGAATACTTCGAATTCTGTGCAGTCCGTGTCTGCGCCAGGAGGGAGAATCCCTCTGGCGTAGTGGTGAGGATGCTGGCCAGTGACCAGGGAACCCCGGGGTCAAGTCCGGTCATAACCACGGAAACCCTCTTTGGGTCAGTCACTCTCAGTCCCGCTTATGGCAGAGTTGCTGTTTTGGGGAAGCAGCGTTTGCCGCCTCTGCCAGAGGAAAGGTGGGATTGGAATGGAATAAATTGAATAAAAATGATCGCCTGAAGGCGGAGAAGTTGTGTGCAGGCATAACAACACGTAGCAGCCAGGGGCTGAGGCTAGAGGTGTGTGTGTCCGTCCATCCATCACAATGACCGGGCATGACCTCCTTCCCCTTTTCTTGTCCTCTTAAGGTACTGCGAGGCTCTGACCTACCTGGTGTATGCTTACCAGACCAACGCAGTCCTGCAAGCGAAAGGACCCGGCAGGGGTGCCGACTCCTCCTTGATCGCTCTTTACAGGAGGAAGTGCCTCTTGGTTGGTATTCACAGGACTTCCCCTTCTTTTCTTCCCTCACTTTGAAGCTTGTGGGTAGAATGCAGAGTTTTCAAATCATTTCTCTAATTGTCATTTGGTTTTATACTGAAAATGGGACATTGTTAAACGCTCCTTACGTCTCTGTAGGTATTTTAAAAATCCCCTCTGGTTCCTGCCAAGGGTTATTCTCCCAGCTTGCTTCTTTTGTTTTAGAAGCTGTTCCCTGTATAGTTCAAGTCTGGGGCAACCTTGGCAATTTGTTTTGCTGTCCTTTTTCCTAGGCCTCCCCCCCCCAGCAGATTCTCTTTTTAAAAGGTTTGGTTGTGTGCCCTTCCTTTACAGGAAGGGAACCTATAATAGATGTTCCTGTCCAGAGCAAAATAACCACACTTAGTTGTTTTAAAACATGCTGTCTTGAATGCTCTTCTCTGAAACGCTCCTGGCGGTGATCTGCTGTAGAAGCTGAACGATGCTGCGGCTGCCCTGTTCGAAAGCAGCGATGGGGAAGACGCGGATCAAGGTGTGAGCCTCTTGAATGAGCTCATCATCCCCTGCATGCACCTTCTCACGAGCAACAATGTCTCCAGAGATGACCTGGACGCCATTGAGGTCATGAGGAACCGCTGGTGCGCATACCTGGGAAAGGACATGGGTGGTAAGAAACGTGTCTTGGGCATGGCATCAATTCCTTCTGTCTACTTTACTTGCCTCTGAGTTTCTCAGTTTTCCTATTTCTTGGTACTCGTAAGGAAACATCTGCAAACCTGCGAAGGTTGACTTTCTACTTCTTGGCCAGTCACTTTTGCCGTTCCTCTTCATTGCAATGGTGGCTGGGAATGATGGAAAATTGAATTTCCCTCTGGAGGAGCACATGTTATCTGCTAAAGTTTACTTGAAAAGTTATCTTCTGGGTTGTTGATAGTTCTGGATATATTCAAGTCACGGAACTGGAGTTCTCTGTGCCTTTAAGAGGAGAAGCTTGTCCGCTGATAGTTATTCCAGTGCAAGCAGCTTGAAACAACTCACTCTATTGAGTTAGGGGGCATGCCTGAGCCTGCTTATCGTAAGGAAGCACAGCAAGCATTCTCTGCTGCCCGAAATGGTTAGGTGTACATCTGTGCATCCAGGACAGTACTGGTTACTGTATTTTCATGGCCGCAGGCTCACTCCGGTGATCCAGTTGGTTGACCGAATCATCTAAGTCAGTGTTGTCCAAACTTGGCCACTTTAAAATGAGTGGACTTCAACTCCCAGAATTC